TGGAAGAGAGCCAAAGCATAAGAGACTCTTAAAAACTGAGAACAAACTGAGGGTTGATGGGGGGTGGGAGGGAGGGGAGGGTGGGTGATGGGTATTGAGGAGGGCACCTTTTTGGATGAGCACTGGGTGTTGTATGGAAACCAATTTGACAATAAACTTCATATACTGAAAAAAAAAAGGTGTCATCATGTTATATTGTTAGTTCAATATACATACTTTAAAATTCTGAATTGCCTCTGAATAATCTAGGTATCTACAATACAGATATGTATGCAAACTACTAGATTTCCCGATATTTAACATAATTAGACTTCTCTAATTTCTAATTATCAGACAATTAAAACATTAGACTTTTAAAGTTACACCATTAGTAGTTCGTAAATTTCTATTTGTCCAAGTTTTTTTTTATTATATGATAAATCTTAGAGGAAGCAAAACCCACAAATCAAGTCTTAATCTGCCTTTCACAGTGTATACCAAATCATCATAATGTACACTTCAAATGTCTTGCAATTTTGTCAATTATGCCTCAATAAAACTGAAAAAAATTAAAATCCCACACAAAGTTTTTTTTTTTTAATTTTTTTTTTCAACGTTTATTTATTTTTGGGACAGAGAGAGACAGAGCATGAACGGGGGAGGGGCAGAGAGAGAGGGAGACACAGAATCGGAAACAGGCTCCAGGCTCTGAGCCATCAGCCCAGAGCCTGACGCGGGGCTCGAACTCACGGACCGCGAGATTGTGACCTGGCTGAAGTCGGACGCTTAACCGACTGCGCCACCCAGGCGCCCCTACAAAGTTTTAATCTCAACCAATGCTGAGAAAAAAAAGCAATGGAGATCTTTTATTCATCACGTGAACAAAAAATACAGAATATATTAATTAATTTTCCCCTAAAGAGAATATATTTTGTATTTAGAGAAACAAAGGATTAGTTGTCAGGAGTTGCTTTTGGAGAATGATCAATCAGCGCCTTGTCAATGGTTGGATACTGATACCAGGGACCATCGCCTCTTGCACGCATTAACTTTCGGACTTCTAGCTCCTTTAATCTGTAACAAACAGAACAGCAATACTGTGATTCCATCATTTCCAACTGCAAAATTAATGAATTATCTCCATAAAGAGAGTCTTTTGATTTTGTGTAAAGTATTATCTAAAGTACTTTATGTAAGGGACACCAGGATGACTCAGTCGTTTGGGCATCTGACTCTTGATTTCAGCTCAGGTCATGATCCCAGGGTCAGGGGAGCGAGTCTCGTATCAGGCTCTGAACTGACTATTCTTCAAATTCTTCTTCAAATTCTCTCTCCCTCTGCTCCTCCCATGCTCACACATACTCTCTTTCTCTCTAAATAAATAAATAAATTTATGTATGTATGTATGTAAAGTATTAATATACCTCCACAGATCCATGTGTATACATTTATCTGATATGCACCTATAAGAAAAATTTGGGGCTTATTTTTGACTTTCATTATCTTGCTTATGTAGTTAGCCCACAGATACTGTTTTTAATCACTAAAACATCACTTGAATTGGTAATCTATTCTTTCCTCTTGTCCCAGCTCTTTATCTGGATGGATCACTTTCACTTGAATAGTGGTAATGCATCTCCTATCTTCTTGCCTTCTAGAAAACCCTCTTGAGACCACATATTTTTGAAATAGGCCCTTTCCACGAAACCTTTCCTTTCCATTTTTATAGACTACATATTACGTTTTTCATCTGACTGGAAATTTATCACAGTTAAATAATGCACTTTATTAACCTTAACCAGCCCACTAACCCTACCTATGAGAGACTACCTACCTTTGTATTGTGTATGTAAGAGAGTGTATTCTTTTTTTTTAAGGATTATATATTATATTATCCTTTTTTTCTACTCTTTAGAATGTAATTATCCAAAATGCAAATATTAAAATATTCATAAGAAGGACTGGTTTTACCCTTACAATAGACTACTAGGCACCTGTTAAAAAGAATGAAGAAAATCTGTATATAGTAAATAGAGATGATACATATAGGGTTAGATTAAAAATGCAAAGTATAAAATGAGTATGTGTAGCATCTTCCCATTTCACTAAAAAACAGAAACTAATATGTATTCATACACATGCAGAGAGTATTAAAAAATGTGGAGGGCAAAAAATAATAGTTATCTTTAGGCAGAAACAATTATGGGAGACAGTCCCTTTCTATTTTGTATCTTTCTTTTATGCTTCAGTTTTCCAAATACCTATACATATACTTAAAAAAATTTTTTTTAATGTTTACTTATTTTTGAGAGAGACAGCATGAGCAGAGGAGGGGAAGAGAGAATCCCAAGCAGGCCCGATGCTATCAGTGCAGAGCCCAACGTGGGGCTCAAACCCATGAACCGTGACATCATGACCTGAGCCAAAATCAAGAATCTGACGCTTAACCAACTGAGCCACCCAGGCGCTCACCTAAACATATACTTTTTTAAAAACATAGGTACTCCTGTTCCATCCTCACAACAGCATCTTTCCTTTGGGGGTAGAAGTCACGCTTTTGTTTTGGTTTTTACTTTGTTTGGAAATTATTTAAAATCTCTATATGTCTAAGGAATTCTAGGATCTAACTTTTAATTGGAACTCAAAGGTGTATGTCTGAAGTTCAAAAAAGTCCAATGTTACTAAGTATGAGCCATATTGCTGGTTCCATGCTCTTAAATACATAACAACAATTCCATATGGTAACTATATACATGTATGATTACATATCTAGTTCTTTTAATCATTTAAATATATATATATATTTTTTTTACTATCATAGCAATTTTTATAAACTATTAAGTTTAAAAGAGAATAACAGAAAGCAGATCAGTGGTAGACTGGGACCAAGAGTAGGGGATGGGGAATGACTGAAGGCACAAGAAAGAGGCTCAGTAGGTGATTGAGATGGTTACACAGCTATTTTCCTTGGTCAAAACCCACTGAACTTAATGGATGCATATGACTGTATGTAAACCTCACTACAAACACTAAAATAAATCTCAGACAGGATCACATTTAAAAGTAGCAAAAGGAAACATGAGTGAACATTAAAAAAAATAATAATTTGGACTTAAATATTTCCCTATTTAATTACTATCAAAAACCTATGCATGACACAAAATCCCAAAAGCTAAGGAAAAGGACTGACAAACTTGACAATAATTAAATGAGTAAATATATATAAAGTAATTAAAACACTGATACATAGTAAGTGTTCAGAAACACATTACCACTACTACACTTCTGTTAACCTGAAACATAAAAACACTTAGGCTGCAAAAAATTTTACACTATCAAAACACAAATGACAAGTCAGGAAAACATACTTGCAATACAAACAAAAAGATATTTTAGTTAAATGTATACATTAGTAGAAAAAAAGGCCATTTACGGGAAAGCAAATACAGCTAGTAGATTTATTTGTGAAAAAATACTCAACCTTACAAAAAAATACAAAATTGAAATAATGAAATAACATGTTTCAACTATCTTATCAGCAAAATGTTTAGGCTTGATAAATTCCATTTACAGGGAATGGTATGGAAAGCAGAAATTATCACGTATTGGTGACAGACAAAACAACTGATAAACAATGTTTTGGGAAAGTGTTTGGCAACATCTATCTAAAATCTAAACATATAACATTTGGTTTATCAGTGCCACTGCTAGGAAATTTATATTCCAGATATACTAAATAAATATGCAGAAATCTATGTAGAAGGATATTGACTACAGCACTATGTATATTATCAAAAAACTTATAAAGAACCGAAGTACCAACAAGGGACTGGTTAAAAAAATTAAGGTACACCCATCCAGTAAAATATATAATGCAGCCATTAAAATGAACAGGGTACGTACTATTATAGAAAGATCACCAAGATCTATTTAAGTGAAATGAAGGCAAGGTACAGAGCGGTGTCTATAAGAGGATTCTATTTGTGTTAATATATTTTCAAATGATATACAAAATATATTTTTAAGGCATAAATTTTCTTCTAGGGACATATACAAGAAATAATTAAATAGTCACTTTTAAGGATGAGACTAGGTAGAGGAGGAAAGGAAATTGAGGGAGGTGGGGCATAGATGGAGGAGAGGGCTTTCCTGCATTTAAAAGAGTAAGAATTAAAAAAAAAATTTTTTTTAGTGTCTTTTTTGGAGAGAGAGAGTGAGAGAGAGTGAGCCCGGGGCAGGGGGCGGGGGTGGGACTGGGTGCAGAGAGAGAGGGAGACACAGAATCCGAAGCAGGCTCCAGGCTCTGAGCTGTCAGCACAGAGCCCAATGTGGGGCTCAAACCCATGAACTGTGAGATCATGAGACCTGAGCCAAAGTCGGATGCTCAACTGACTGAGCCACCCAGGCGCCCCAAAAGAGTGAGACATTTTAAAAAGAATTCCTTTTACTCTGACAGATATTATCAACCAATAGTCTCAGTTTCCAACTCATAAACTCCACTCTAAACAGGCCAGATCCATCCCCATCTTCATTGTTTTACATGGAGCATCCTAAAGTGTTGAAACAGCTTAATTTTTTTCTTATGGCTTACAATACTAAGGAAGGAATTTCTTTCCTGCCCCCCTCCCCTTTTTTACCGTAAATCAGCCTTTTCAGCTTCAATTCGAAGGATAGCCATTGTTTTTTCATAATTCTTTTCGGGACTATCAAAGAAAGTTCGGGCAATCCATCTTGAGATAGGATGCTACAAGAGAAAATTTGTTTATTATTTTCTGAACACTACTTTGCTTTTTCAGTTTACTATTCTTCAAAATGGCCATCTCTTGGGCATTGAGAAGGACACCTGTTGAGATGAACACTGGGCGTTGTATGGAAACCAATCTGATAATAAATTATATTTAATATTAAAAAAATGCCCATCTCAGGTAAATCAATAATACTAACTAAATGCTAACTACTTTATATATTTTTTAAATTACTTTAATCCATTAGGTGGATATTATTTTTGTCCCCATTTTATAGATGAGCAAATTTTGCAAAGTTATACAGTTACTAAGTGCCAGGATCTGGATGCAAACTGGGTCTGTCTGACTCCAAAATCTGTGCGTTTTGCCATTATACTACACTGAGGATCTTAAGTGGCTAATTTAAGAGCTAAACCCAGGGTTTGGTGATGAAAAACTGAAGCTCCTTCTCTCAGCACAGATAAACTATTTGTATGGCTTGCCTTAAGATATAATAATGCTATATTAATGACATATTTTTCTGAAATATAGTTCGGTCAGATAATAAAACATGACAGAATATACTCTACTCAAGGCCATCTCACCACAACACTTATAAAGACACGTAACAGAATTAACTTTAGAGATTCCCAAGCAGGCCCCACACCATCAGTGCAGAACCTGATGCTGCTTTCGTAGCAGCCCGACGCTGCTGTTTTAGTAGCAGGGACAGTGTGCTAAAATGACAGTGCAGGCTCTCAGATCAAGCCTGCGTAGGTTCAAATACTGGCCCTACCTTTTGGACAGGTCACTTCTCCTCTTTTATGCCTCAGTCTCCTCACCTCTGAATTGGGCATAATAATAGCACATTTCACATGGAACACGGTAATATTTACAAAACACTACCACAGCCCCTGCTACACAGTAGGTGCTTGATAAAGAATAGCTAAGCATTAGTATTGGTAAAATCTTTCCTATGGCATTGAACTTAGGATATGTTCTGATGGTTAATATGCTAGGATGAGAACGCACTGCAGAGCCATTCTTTAAAAAACCATACAGCATAAAGCAATAAAACAAATGACCAAAAGAAGTTGCTTGTAAAAAGTGAGCACAAAATGTGTCATCTCCCTCACACCAAAAATTGAATATATCATAATTGCTAAATTGAGACATTAATCAGTACACTGACAAGACACCTAATGGAAAGTAACTTTCAATGGCCTATACCAACCTTGAAGTATTCCCAGTGTTCTGGGATATAGCCTTCTGGAATTTCTGCTAACTCAGCCTCACCTAATAAGAGAAAATAGTGACGTACAATTAGTATCAGCAGTTTGTAATATTAATTTCCCACTATTTAAGAAACCAACCTCTTATGGTTTTAAAGAAAGCTCTGTACTAATGAAGATATCAAATACAGTTGACCCTTGAACAACATGGTTTTGAATGGCATGGGGTCACTTACACATGGATTTTTTTTACAGTACAGTACTGTATTTTCTCTCTCTTTTTTTTTTTTAAAGTTTATTTATTTGAGAGGAGAGTGTGGGAGCAGGGGAGGAGCAGAGAGAGAGGGAGACAGAGAATCCCAAGCAGGCTCTGCAACTCAGCACAGAGCCCGATATGAAGCTTGAACTCTAACCATGAGATGATAACTAGAGCTGAAATCAAGAGTTGGATGCTTAACCAACTGAGCCACCCAAGCGCCCTTCTTTATCATTTTTTTAATAATACTGTCTTTTCTCTAGCTAACTTTATCACAAGAATTCTTTATCACTTTATACAAAGAATACTTTGTATAATATAAAAAATACACAAAGTATGTGTTAACCAACTGTTTATGTTATCAGTAAGGTTTCTGGTCAATCAGTAGTTAAGTTTTGGGGGAGTCAAAAACTTATATGTGGATCTCTGACTGAGCAAGGGGTTGATACCACCACGTTGTTCAAGGGTCACCTGTATTTTAGATTAACTTTAATGTGGTTTAAAATCATTTCATTCACGGGGCGCCTGGGTGGCTCAGTCGGTTAAGCGTCCGACTTCAGCTCAGGTCACGGTCTCGCGGTCTGTGAGTTCGAGCCCCGCGTCGGGCTCTGGGCTGATGGCTCAGAGCCTGGAGCCTACGTCCGATTCTGTGTCTCCCTCTCTCTCTGCCCCTCCCCCGTTCATGCTCTGTCTCTCTCTGTCTCAAAAATAAATAAACGTTAGAAAAAAAAATTAAAAAAAAAATAAAATAAAATCATTTCATTCATTAGGTATTTTTTAGATGTCTTCTACTTGTAAGGCATTGTCTATTGTCTAAGGCATGATAGGAGAGTTTCACATTGTTTTTATACAACGTAACAAAATATAATAAAAGACACATTATTCCCTCTGGTTTTCCCTACCACTACTAGACAAAATATTTTAGGAGTCAAGATGTTAGAAGTAGTTTGGGCAGAGTTTCCCATGAAAATCTAATTTGCACTGTCATTCACAGTTTCATTCTTTTTTAGATTATAATTTTATATGTTCCAAGATGTATAAAAAAATTCTTCCATCCTTTAGCCTCTCTTCCACCTCTATCTCTATTTTTTTTTTTTTTTATTCAGACTTGTCAAAGCTGGTTTGGAGAAATAACAAGAAGGAGGAAAACAAGGCTTTCTGAAGCCATTTGTGGCCTCTGTACAGAGTTGGTGACCTTCAAGGTTCTTGAAGGGAAAAAAAATCTTTAAAAAAACAACATTGTACCCTGTTGCAGATTGAGATCTGGTTACTGTAAAATAAAATCTCATGTTTATTATTTAAATAATATTTTCTTATAACATTCATAATTTCCTTCTGTTATTAATGTACATGGGTTTTAAAAATTTACCAGTTTGGTTGGAGAGGTACTTACCAATGAATATATTCACCAGAGTTATGCCAATTGCTACTGGAATCCCAGTCAACAAAATGTAGAATTTCTGTTGAGATTAAAAAATAGTTTTCACGTAACATAACCATTACCTAACTTTCTTTCCCCACTCTTAAACTGTCTTCAATTTTGGATTTCCTTCCATTGCCTGTCAAATAAATTTGCCATATTGGAGATGTGGTACCAAAGTATTTATTTCTGAGATTTTCTTTTGCTCTAACTTTTAGATGCCTATATTTGGAAGCAAAAATGAAAGAAAAAGTAAGGATTAATTGTAAAAGGGTAATACAATATATGTTTAAGTGATTTTCCCATTTTTGGTTAAGGCGATGTAATAAAAGTTGAGAAATTTTTGTATTAAGATGGGAAGTGCAAAAACATCTGGGTGTTGTTACCCACTGTAGAGTTTGAGTTGGTCATGACAAGAAAAGTGGGAGCTCAACCAGGAGAGTGAAGAGGGGCATTGAGCACAATGGGCGAGCAAGAGGTCTAGAGGGCAGCATCCAGACAATCTTCTATCTGCCAGGCCTCTACTTTTCCTTAAAGAGCCTTGAGATACAAATATATAGCTGGTACCCCACTTCATCCTCTGAAATCAATGTTCCTGAACAATATAGAAGTAAAAAATTGTAGTCCAAAATAATGTAGTTACTTTAAGGAAGTCTTTCAATGAGTTCCTTGGTATTTTAAAGAATATTTTAATAATATAAATAATTATCCCCAAATGAATCCATTTTCAAAGTTTAATAACTTATAGACTTTAGTGTATGTGTGTGGGTGTGTGCATGCACGCATGCATGCACAGTGAACACAGATTACATTTCAAAACCCCACAATCTTGAGAATAAAGGAATGGCTCATTTTTTACCTCTAATACATACGAATCCTTTTTTATGAAGAACGAAAAGCTCACTAATTTAAAAAGAAATTCAGTAACAAATCAGACATTACAGTACAAAATCTCAATTATCTTTTAAAAAAGAAATGTGAATTTACGAAACACCTTTTACAAAATGAAAGATGCTTATTTTCTAAATAGGCCAAAAAAAAAAAAATTCCTATTTGTATATAAAGAGTTTAGTTTAGCAAAATTTTTGACTCACCATTAAACTCAAAAAACGCCTGTCATAGAATCCAGAAGGTTTGATGATAAACAGTCTTTTCCCATGATCTCCACTGTGTCGCACAGGAGCTGGCAATATTAAATTACCCTGTTACATATACAAGGCTCATAAACGTATACTGTTCTATTCTGACATAAAATCAGGTTATAAGAAAATGTATGTTCATAAATGTTTAATATGAATTAAGACAAAAAATACATACTTATTTGAGTACTAAAGGCAGGGCAGATAGGGTATCTTTCAACAAACACTAATGTACTATTGTAAACTCTAGCTCTCTTCATTTTTATTCAGCTTTAAAGAGATATCTAAATAATTGTCTAAATTTGTTTCCAGAGCAGGCAGGGAGGTTAGATACTCTTGGTGGGCTAATTATCTTTGTTTATCTCTGCAATAAATATCTGCTAATGCTATAAAATAAATAAACTTAAATTGTGTCACTTCATATGATGAGGAAATATACATCAGGGATTTGCAGCAAAATAGATGGAAAGATATTTATTCCACATATCTCCAGCAGGAACTTGAACTTGTTAAAAGTAAATACTCTAACATATCTTGATAAAATCGGTCTGTAAGCCATTTCTTTCTTTCTTTTCTTCAATTTTATTTTAGAGAGAGAGAGAGAGAGCATGAGCAGAGGAAAAGAGAGAAAGAGAGAGAGGGAGAAAAAGAGAGAGAGAATCCTAAGCAGGCTCCATGCTCAGTGCAGAGCCCAATGCAGCTCTAACCCACAACCCTGGGATCATGACCTGAGCTGAAATCAAGAGTCGGACACTGAACTGACTGAGTCACCCAGGCACCCTTGTAAGCCATTTCTGGTTGTGAATATTCTCCTTTTCAAATTCTCCCTTGGACAGTATGCAGTCAAGCCTCACTGGAGATAAACTGAGGCAAAATTTCACCCCTAAGCTTATTTCTACATGATTTCCCTTTCTTGGATGCCTGGAAGGATCACTGCAGGCACTCTAGGCCCTTGTGCTGAAAGCAGGAAAGGATCTCACTGTTACTGGGAAACTGAGATTATGGTTTCTGCTGTATGAAAGTGTATTCAAAAAAATTTCCCATGGGAGTCACTGCAGAATACAAAACTAATTCCCCATTAAAGTAATTTTAGTTATAATAGAGGTCATAAAGATTTGTATCCTTTGTTCAAGCTTAAATGTCTGGAATGCCTTTCCCTCTCCTGATATTACTAGGCCCAGATGACATTTTAACCTCCAAAAACCAACATTATTCCCAATCACATGAGATGTCTCCTACTTCTGAACTGTTGTATATTCTAGTGATACGCATACTTGCTTTCACCGCTTCCACTGAAATATAAATGTCTTGAAGGTAGGAACTATATTCTTAATTTTGGTATCACCTATAGTAGCTTGCAATGAATTTAGAAAGTTAATTCACAAGAGAATTCGAAGCTGGCATGCATTTACTGTGTACAATTCACACTACTAAAGTTTCTAAAATAGCAAGAGAATGTGGCAAAGTGATTATATATTTCAGAAAATCATTTGAAAGGTACATTGGAATTCTTTGTGGACTAGATGCAAAAAAAAGAGCTGGTTAATAGTACAAACCACTCATTAATTCTATTCTACTATGTGTAGGCCCTGTGCTAGACTATTCTTTCCAACAAAGGAAAGAAACAGGATGCAATGTCAGAAAAAACCAGGCCCAGAAGTAAGGTTCCTGTATAGACAGGATGGTGGAGAGATGGGGGGTACGAGGAAGGGGCATTAAAAGGTGAGAGAAGTAGCAAATTAGATGAATTTATAATGGGTAACTGATCGATTGTACCCAAAAGGTGCTGATTACTTAATCCAACAACCTGCCAAAAGGCTCCATCCAAAGCTCTGAGAAGTTGAGATTTCTACAAATGGCCTGGATGAGGTGAAAATGGCATTCCTGATGACACAAAGCTACTGCTACAAGGATGGCTACTACACTGATGATGAAATAGGATCCCCAAAAGTCCTCACACACATTTATAAAAGGATAAATCTAAAAGGATTAAACATAAGAAGTGGAAAGTCCTGACTGGACCTCCCAAAAGTTGCTCACAGACTTAAGCAGAGTCATTGGTGTGATATGGTAACCAAGAAAGTCAAAGACAATTCAATCCTAATCTTATGTACGAGAAGTGTAGGGTCAAAACAGGAGGAACACCCACCTCCATCTCCTAATTACACCTGCAGAAGTGTGTCCATCCCAGAGTATACTGTTTTAGAGGAACAATCTGGAGCATACCCCAACTTAAGCAACCAGTATGGCAAATAACCTGGAAACTGATATACTGAAGCTTAAAGAAATGCAACTGATTGTTTGGCCTACAAAAAAGAAGTCTGGGTAGAAAGCAGAGAAGTGTCTTTAAATAGGTGAAGGGCTATCCCATAACAAAGGGTCACACTATTCTGTGCTGACCTGAAAGGAGGAACCAGGAGTAATTTTCAGCTTAATACAAGGAAGAAGTTTCTAACCATTTTAGTGGTTCAAAATAAAATTGGACTGCCTCTCCAGTCCCCTTTTTGGAGTTATTCAAGTGTCAACAGTGGGACGTAAAAAGGATATTCTACGGGTTGGCCTAGAGGATATCTAAGGTCCTTTTCCTCAAAGAATCAGAACACTTGGCCTGTCTTAGAACAAAAAGGCATACCTTTCCAACTTATCAGTCTCAATGATTTCCTTCCAACTCCAAGAACTCTTTCTAGACTTCAAGTTTTTGCACTCTTTGCCGAAAAGCTTTTTCCCAGGCTCTTTGAACAGTTACCGCCGCACCTCCATCCTTCAGGACCAAGTTCAAATGTAACCTCCTCGAAGAGGTCTTCTCTGACTACCCTATCCAAAGCTGGCCTCCTACTTATCCTCCGTGATATCATTTGGTTAGTTCTTTTAGAGCAATACACACTAAGCCTGATTATTTTGTTGAAGTCCATGAGGTCAAGGACTGCATTATTCAGTACTGTATCCCCAGTACCTTTTAGTGTCTGCCACATAGTGGATGCTCCATAAATACGCTGGAATTTACATTTCTTAAGTAAATTAAATGTCAGTTGGGATCCTTCCTCACTCTCTGAAAGTAAATCTACTCAGAAGAGACAGTGTACTCCAAACTTTCCCTTTCCACTGGGCAGGCAGGCAGGCAGGCAGGCAAACACACACACACTACCCAGAGAGAAAGACATGGATTAAACTACCTGGTTTTAGGGACAACTGATTATGCATAACACCATTAACAGATAAAAAAAATGTAACATAAAAAAACTATGGAAGAATGCTTGGTCTGGCTGTATTCTAGCAATATTAATGCAGTTAGTAAAGTGAACTGCTTGCTTGCTTTCCATATAATTACCTTTAGTGTTAAACAAGTTATTCATGTCATTAAATGTGCTAAATAACTACTATTATTTTATTACTGTTATTATTATTATTGTTAACTGTTCTAAAGTATATTTCATAGCACTAAACTCTTCTCAAACATTCTGAGCCTTCATGATTTGTTGTTGATATAGTCAGGCCACCTGCTTACAATCTAAAAATATTAGGGTGAATACTGCTTACATGGTTTTTGACAACTGTGATATTTGTGAAGATCAAATAAGATAACGTAGGTTTTGTGTCTCTAAGACAACAATCAAAAACTAGCCATTTTCTTTCCTTCATTCTCAGACTATTCCCAGTTAATGACTCCACCAGCTCAATTACCCAGGCTAAAAAACTCATTCATCTTCCTTGCACCTACCCCTCATTCATCAATTGTCAAGGCCTCTTGATTCTAAGATTCAAGTTTTCTTTCCTGCCTTCTTTACCTCACTGGCTTAAGTAACCAACACCCCCTTATAAGCCATCCAAATTCAGAAGCATCTTCCCAAAACACACTACTGATTTGGTCTCCTGCTAAAACACTCTCTGCAGCCTACAAAACAGTTAAGATACTTTGGTTTTGTATTCAGTCCTCCACTCCCCCAACTTGGTCCCAAGTTCCCTCTTAAGCCTTTTCTTTCAACATCTACCTATCTCAAGACCCCCCATATTCAGATATATCAGAAAATACATCCTCTAGTCTTCTGCCAATTGCAGCTGTTAAAACTATCCAGAATCCACTTAAAATGCCCCATCTTCTACATCTGAATTAACTCCATATCACTTTGTTTATGTAATCACTTAAATATTTCTTCTCAGTTTTTTTAAACCATAATGTGCACACATCAGTCTTCATATTAAAGCTACTGCAGCTGAGGGAAGAACTTTAACTCATTTGTATAATTCCTTGATATTAGACACTTAATAAACAATTTAAATAGAACACTTGTATCTGCTTATTTCCTGAGGAAAGTTTTCAAGGACGGTGAATGAAGATAACATGTCAGTCCTACATGTATAAGAAAGGGGTGGCCACAGGGCCTGTTAGTAAACCAATGCTTCTAAATCTAGGTGCTGTCGATTTTCCCACTCACTCTTCACAACTACCTTATGAGGCAGGTTAAAATTATCATCCTCTTTTTTTCTTTTTTCTAACAGTTCTTATGGTAAGAGACAAGCACCTTTCAAAATGACATTCTAGAAAGATGCTAACTTATGCAGAAATATATTTCAGGATTATAAATACTTGTCAATAGTAAAGAGATTAGATTTATTTCCCTGTCAACAGAATATAAGCACACTTGTAATAAACATCTTCTTTTTTAAAGATAAAGAAACACAGGTTCCAAGCAATTAAGTACTTTCCATTTAGCTTCCAAGATATGATGACCCAAGGTCACATAGCTACTAACTCTGGAGCCAGGATTTGAATGTAGGCAGTCTAGCTCCAGAGAAAACAAAACAAGGTTTTCTGCTCCTGGGTCTTACAGTCTCATAGGGGCAGACATAAGCAATAACATAACAGATTAAAACCTTTCATTCCACAGTGACAGATGAAACCACCTGCAAAATACCTTTGAAAGCAGGAATCAGGCTGAAACACAGACTCTAATATAGCTATCAGATCCTTCCCTGGTCCCAGTGGAAAGGGTATAGATTATTGGTATTGATCCTTCCAGAACTCCAAGAAAGGGGGAATAACATATAAAAGGGATCTGGGAGTGAGGTTTTCACCTGAGTTTATCTCCAGCAAGACATGAATAAATACTATCTCCAGGGAGTATTCGAAGAGGAGGATATTTGTAATCAGAAATGGCTTACAAAGGGATTTTATCAAGAAATGTTAGCACATGTGGTTTTTTTTTTTTTTTTTTAAACAGGTTCAAATTCCTGCTGGAAATCCTTGAATTCCACTAGTTGTTTCCATCATTTTTGTGACAAGTCTCTATGTGAAGTGACATAATTCAAATTAAATTGGGAGAAGAAAAAAGGGGTAGAGAAAGATATTTTGAGGTTGGAGATCTTTTTGGCTTTCAAGTACACTTCCTCTCCACCTTCTTGTATTGCACAGGGCAGACAGCTTATAGTATATTTTTGATCAAGAGGATTAAATGAATTAATATCTTTAAGATCTTAGGATGGTACATGGCACATAGGTGTTCAATAAATATTACATTTGGTGCTCTAGTGCATTATTTTTGTAATAACGGAGTCACAGTCCCTACATTAGTAAAATGGGGATAGTAACATTGTACTTAATTCGCAGAGTCTTTGAAAGAATTAGATTGAATACAATGCATCTGAGACTTTGCTATTATAATTATTCACTCTCCTAGAAGTCAATACAGTCTCCAAGAAGCTTCAAATAACCCTGGCATGACTGCATTATGACTTTCCTGGACCTAGGGATTTTTCCTTCATGGGCCCCTTCCACTGTAAGAAGATATTAAAAATTACTATTTTATGACTCCGTTGATATAAAACGAATACAATCCAGGCTGGATTCCTTACCACACATTCATTAACATTACAGGTTTTGTTTTGTTTTTTTTTTTCTTCCTCCTGGTTTTAAAAGAAAGAGAAAACATGTGCAGGGACCCCTGAAAGTATGGTGTAGGCACTGTGCCTACTGAAGGAGTTAACACTGAGCCTCTCCACCTGCCTACTAACATCAGTGAGCTCCTGGGCAACATGACTTACAACCTTGTGGGACTAGAACCTAGGGTGGAATGTACAGAGAGAATCCGGTGCCTGAGACACCTAGGTCTCTGGTCTGTGCCTTTTTAACCTCAACTTCATCCGCAAATTAGCACCAACTGGGATGGCTGAGTGGTAAAGTGTTTGACAAATGCTAATTAATGATTTAAACACGATCGATCTGATTACCTCAGGAAAACCCTCGACCTCCTCACAAAGCCCACGCTCCATCTCTCCTCTCAAGCCCCAAGCCCGCAATTTCTCCCAGCTCCTTCCAGATCCCACCAAGGTCACTCCGAGGAGCTCTTCATCTCTCATCCCACATCCCCTGAGCGCGCTTTTCCCAAAGCTAGCACCCACCGACAGTCTTCGGAAAGCCACGGGTGAGGAAGCCCCCGAATCCAAGTCGAGCGCCAAGCCGGCGGCCGGAGAGAGCGGCCACTGCAGTGACCGAGACCCGCTGCAATAGACTCATGGCCGCCATGGCTACTACGGGCAATTGAAAAGCTGGGGCGAGTAACAGGAGCCGAAAGAGCCAATTTACCAACGAGAGCGAAGGCGGAAAGTGGCCATCTTGAGTGAGGGCAAAGCCTATTTCTGTTTTCTCCATCCGGTCGGCCTGAGACACAGGAAGTGACATCATTGTGGAGAAACCGCGGTATCCTTACTTTCTGTGGAGACATGGCTGCGGCCAGTTTGGGCGGTGTTTGCAGAAAAGTCTTAACCGGGCTGAAAGCTTCTAAGTCGCTAATAAGTCTTCAGGCCCCACCTAGCACAGGGTAAGTGATGTGAGGAGTAGGTTTGTTCTCCTCTCCGACTTTGGATCTTGTTTGGTTGCCGAGATGCTGGAAAACAGCTGAGAGGCCGCGCGCATAACCGAACCCGAACTCACCTGCGTGAGAAGGGAATGCCCTTAGAGAAGTCGTCCACCTCCGACATTTCCGGTCTTTTCTCAAACTTTTTCTTGCCACCTAGTGCGGACCAGACAGTCCATGGGGTCTGTAGATAACCAGTATTTGTTGAATTAAACCTAGAGGTACAGAAGCATCCTCTTTGGATGGGTGAGTTGGGAAAAACTGCACTGAAGAGGATTTGGTTATGGAACTGAAGATTATGTCAAGTTTGGATGGATAAAAACCAAGGCGCTTTTGTATCTCCAGAATATATCAGAAAGATTTTTCAGTAAATGTGGAGTGAATAAGTGAAAGTAGTCAAAAGAACGGAAAGTAGCTCTGCTGGTGTGAGAAAGGAACATCCTACATATGGTGTTCATTATTTCTGGAAAGACAACCTGTCTTCTGGACAAACTGACAAGTTTATGGTATATGGTTTCCTCCCTTTTATTGGATTTTGTCTCTAATGAGTTGGATTTTATAAATCATTGGGTATGTCGGATTTTTTTTAAAGGAAGTAATGTATGTGTCCTTGAATCCAGCACAATTGTTGAGCATCTATTATGTGCTATATATTACTTGCACTTACTTTAGAGATAAGCAATATTTTTTCATTTTTCAGAGATTCACAGGTTGTAACTTGATAAAGGTGACAAACTTGGATCAATTGTCTGTAATTCACTGTCATTTTTTCTTAAAAATAAATTTTAGAGGGGCACCTGGGTGGCTCAGTGGGTTAAGCATCTGACTTCAGCTCAGGTCATGATCTCACAGTCAGTGAGTTCAAGCCCTGAGTCGGGCTCTGTGCTGGCAGCTCAGAGCCTGGAGCCTGCTTCAGATTCTGTGTCTCTCTCTGTTTCTGCTCTTCACCTGCTCATGCTCTGTCTCAGAACTAAACGTTAAAAAAAAATTGTAAATAAAATAAATTTTAGATTTTTATTATCAAAATGAATATTGCTTCATTTGCAGACAATAAGGCAAATGGAAAATAAGGCAAGTGTTTTGAAGAATATAATAATCAGCTATAATTTTTGCCACTCAAAGATTTCCTTACATTCCTTTTTATATATACGTATACATGTAATTCTTCTAAGTTTATTTATTTTTGAGAGAGAGAGAGAGACAGAGCAGGTGTGTGGGTGGGAGGAGCAGTGGGAGACAGAGAAGAGGGAGAATCCCAAGCAGGCTCTGAGCTGTGAGAGCAGAGCTTGACTCAGGGATTGAACTCACAAACCATGAGATCATGACCTGAGCTGAAATCAAGAGTCAGACACTTAACTGACTGAACCACCCAGGTGCCCCCACATACATGTAATTTTAAAGCCAGAATCATATTTACATGTATGCATCTTGGTGCTCTACCCTGTTTCCCCAATTTTTTATATTTAAAAATTTCAAACCAACAGAAAAATTGTAAGAGTACTACAAAGAATAACCACTCTTCATCTATATTAAGCAAACCTTAGCATTTTGTCACATTTTTATGTATCTTTATATCCATGCCTATGTGTATTTTTTTCTGAGCTATTTGAGGCATTGTGACACTTCAGTATATGTCTCCTAAGAACGAGAACACTGTCTTTATAACTACAATACTACAATGATCACGCTGGAGTATTTAATATACTACTGTCGCCGTGCTTTTACGTAGCATACAGTCCAAATTTTTTCTTAATTTTTTATCCAGGGTCCAACCAACGATCATTCATTACTGTCGTTGGTTGTTATGTCTTGTTAGTCATCTTTAATCCAGAACATTTTTGAGCAGATCAGCCTTTTCAGATTATCCTTCCATTTAGATTTGTCTGATTGTGTCCTCATGGTTAGATTCAAGTTAAATTTTTTTGGTAGGAATACAACACTTGTGATACACTTTGCTATTGAGTTTTACATTATTTCACCAGCTTATTAAATATTCTTTAAAAACATGATTTTTAAATTACTGCATAATAAATTATTATACAAATGCACAGTAATTTTGTAACCATTTCCTGGTTGCATATTTACATTATTACCAACTTTTGGATATCACATATAATGCTTTAATAGATATTTTTATTAATTCTCATCATATTTTTAGTTGAAATTTCTAGATGAATTTTGGGTTGAAGGGGGAAGCATTGAGGCTTGTGATACATGTTGCAAAATTAATCTTCAGAATGTTTTTATCTGCTTATGTAACCACTAGCCAGGTATGAAAAGCCTAAAAGTGTTACCTTAAGTATAATTGTATCAAGATACTGTCTCCAAAATTATGTGAATATATTAACCTCTGAAATTAAAGGGTAGCAGCATCTATAATGCAATATTGAAAATTATTTCTAAAGCATTTTATAAGTTTGTTCTTTGTGCAGAAACCCTGAGTAATTTTTTTTTAACATTGTAGATGAGGAAGTGATTCCAATTATTGCTTGTAAAATCCAAATGTTGCAAAACTCTGATCACTTGTTTATATATGTTCAGTTGCAGGTTTTCTCTTAGTCTTTTGCCTAAGAATATACCAAATGTCACATCTTTTCACCAGTGTAGATTACTTCATACCACATTGTCAAGAAAAGGACTGGAAGAATTTTTTGATGACCCAAAGAATTGGGGGGAAGAAAAAGTGAAATCTGGTAAGATATTTGGGTTGACTGATATTAAATATATTTATTAAATCCTCCATTACTTTGGGATTATTTATCTACCTTGGGGATCATTTAGGTGTTTCCTTTTTTTATTTCTTTTGGGAATGTGAGAGAAAATTAAAAGGACAATGTAATAGTACAGTTAATTGTTGATTGGCAGGTTGACAAAAGGCTTAGAAGAGGAGTAAATTGAAATTGTTAACTGAAGTGAGGTCAGAGATTTGGTTTAGATTTCATTTTTTAGAGATAATTACATGTTTATAATGATAGGAAATATTTTGGTATTAAACTGTGGAAACACATTCTTTTTTAGTACTAACATTTTTTTAATGCTATTGCCAGTAGCATTACTAATATTTTATGTGTTACCTAATTTAATGCCAGTTTAGTCCTAATTGTGTATTATACTATGATATGATAAAACTATTATATTTTACAGATAAGGAAACAGGTTTAGAGAAGTTGAATAATCTGCCACAAGGCACATAGCTAGAAAATTATTTCATGTTGTGAATTTCATAAATTTTTCTGTGTGTCTGAATTTCATAATTTTAATAGGAGCTTCATGGACCTGTCAGCAATTAAGAAATAAAAGTAATGAAGATTTACATAAACTTTGGTAAGTATACTGAATACATTAATATGTAGGTGTTTGAAGCAGTTAAAATATGACAATGAGGTATAAACTTTACATCTATTTGATGTAAGAAATTGAGAAAGTGATTTGTCTTACAATACTATGGATGATATGTAAAACCAGTAAAGATTTTAAGACAAATGTATTAGTGTTCTCAAATAGTTGGGGATTAAGAAATTTTACTGTAACTGCTACCAGTCATACTAGCATCTTTTTCTTTAAGTTTATTTTATTTATTTTGAGAGAGAAAGCATAATTTTGGGGGGGGGGGG